AACGAAACGAAAAAAAAAAGAAATGTTAATGACTAAAGAGAATAGCATTTTCTATACTGGAAAATAGAACAATACGATTATCGTTTATATGATCTAAGGTCCGGTCTATATGATATTTGTTAAACACGATGATCTTTCAAAAGCAAACCTGCCCTTAGTACTGGTCAGACCCTTACCTATTTTCAGGACGGTCAAAAGCAGCTGAATCGATTAGACATGTCCACAGGTCTGGTCTATAGCAAACATGTCAATAGGTCTGCAGCAGTCACAAAAAAAAGATCTAGGTTAATTTGGAAAGCGGTTAAAAAGTTTGTTCCATGTTAACCTTTTTACATGTTAGGACTGCATCCATATGTTCTTGATTAATTCAGTCGTGTTATATTTTTAAGCATATTGTATCAATTATAAGAAACAAATGGAAAAGTTACGCTAATGACTGGTGGAATCGGTTAGACTGGTTATCAATATTGGTATATACCCTTGGAATGTGTCTGAAGTTTGGCGAAAGACGAATTCAACAAGATGCATCGAAAGTCTCATTAGTAGTAGCTTTTATACTTCTGTGCATACGGATCTTAAATCTGTTTTGTATGTCAGAGATTCTTGGTCCCAAGTTAGTCATGATTCGCAAAATGGTATGTACAAATATAATAACAATTCACTTATAATTTTTTTCAGTTTAACTACAATACAGGTGAACATATCAACCATGTCAACTCATAATTACTTTATATAGATTTATTTTGGAAACTTAGAAAAAATATAATTTTCATACAAAAAATGCAGAAAAAGTAAACGGATCAAAATAACACGAGGAGAATCAAATAAAAAGTATAATTTGACAAAAGAAAAAAATGAAGCAATATAACCTTAAGCATGTTAAGTATGAAGAAGATTAATCAATGCCTGTTCTGTCATTGTATTGGTGAACATTCTGTCTGTTACAAAAGGCAATAGTTTAATTAGTATGTCATACTCTTAATCGTTTTAGTACAGAACATTATATTAATACTAAATTAATTATATAACCGTGATTATCAATTGTATATTAAATAATTCAAATTCACGTATTGAAAGCGAAAAAGAAGCATTAACAGAGTTTCTTAAGACCCGATACATTAACGGTAAGTTCATGAAGCGTGAAATTGGTCCTGAGAATTTGATGTTTTTAAACAGACCAAAATACTATAAATTTTACAAAACAATAGTTGTGATATAACTATTTATACCAACTAACTTCTTTCTATCACGTCACTTTAAAACTGACGAGGAAATGACCCCTCAGGTATGCATTATTTGTGTTGTAATATATGCTTTGGAGCAATTTTTCAAAAAATCAGTCCATTATGAGTTTTCTTTGTGTAACGCATATATTACCACCAGTCCAATTTGAACTTGAATTCAGTATATATCGACAAAAGATGAAAGTTGTTCTGTGACGAATGTCAAGTTTAAACATTTAACATGTTTAAAGCAGGAAAAGGGTTATTTAAAATAGTATGGTACTCGAACTGCTGTCAAATAGATATAAACGAATTTTTTTAGCTTTCTATGCGGTATGGGGTTTGCCCGTTTTTGCCCGTACGGTAACCTAAAGATGTTAAACTGTACACCATATGGTTTCTGGTGAACAGTGTCCTCATGGGCAATCATACTTTATCTCCTTATTTTTATATAAAGTCGAAGACCCTAGCTGCATCACTTATGAAAGGGATAAGCGTGTATACATCGAATGATATACCAGGCGTTATATGCGAAGATATATAGTGAAAGAGTAGAATATACCCTTAACTGTGAATAACCTTTGAGGGAATTAATCTTTAGAAAGCGTTCGATTGCAATCAAAACATAAATTTTAAGCTGTTTTCAAAGTTCCTTGATAGAAATTAATCAAATCAACGTAACTATTATTTTTTCAGAACCATGTTAATCATACCCGCGAATGTTTTATTTTGCATATTTGTCTAAGATAAAATAATATTTGAAACGAAACTTTTTATCACAATGTCTTTACTTTTCTTCATGTTATCGACATTGTTATCATATGTAATTGCATACATCTTCTAAAAAAAATTTCATTGTGTTGTCATGAAATCAAGAAAGGTAAAATAAAAAAGGAGATTTTTTGACTAAAATTTAAAAGCTCTGCTTCTGATACGAAACATATACATTTACTGTATATTGTGGTATACGAGTGAGTAAATTGTCATATTGTATCGTAAGTATCAACCAATGGTCACGTAGTTCAATTATAAATTCATCTGACCAGATAATGTTGCAGAAGAGTCGTTTTATGATTTAATCTTTCAAATGCAGAATATATCTTGAATACTGCACCAACAATATGTTCTAAGTGAAAATAACTCAGTTGATTTGATTATTTTAAAGGTTGGTACAGTTTTTTTTTGGTCCCCTTTGCTATATAAAGGGCACTGTATAGTGATCCATTTCTCTTTTAATTTCTGAATGCATTCTAAAAGCATATCTTTGTATATTTATTTTGCTGGTTATGTTTTTAAGTTAACTCTCCACTCAATTTTTTTCAACCTGGAGCCGGAAGGACCTTCGTTGACTACACTATATACTTATCCTATAGTTAAACGGGTTTACCAACACTAGACTAAAATAGATTTGTCTCTTTTAATTTCATTAAATTTTCAAAAAATTTTTTACTATGACCTGTTGACAAAAACATAAAAATTTCAAGAAATTTTAACCACACAATTTACAGGAAAAATTCCATTGGAAAAATAGCAGTTTGAGACAGACACTAATTATGATCGCTTGATTTCTCTTAACTAATAGTATGTGATTAAAACTTTCAGCTGATTTTAAAAGAGTTAACTCCCTTTGGTATATATTCTGTTACCCCTTAAATTGTAAGATAGAAACTATATTTTACATAAGTATGAACATAAAATGTACATGTTTTGTTTACATCCCAAGATATCGTAAAGATGGTTTCTTTTTTTTTTTAGTTTTCAGATACAGGTGCCTTCATGGCCATCATGACAGTGATTATGATGTGTTATAATATATCTTTTCACGCACTTTTATATACTAACTCTGAGTTTAGCTGGTCACAGATGGAAAAGATCACTCAAAATGGATACTGGATGTTATTTGGTGAACTGAATTTGGATGGGGAAAAATGTAAACAAATATGATTCTACTGCAAGCTTACAACTTATATTTTTCAATTTTGAATCAGTAATGCCAATATCGCATCTCACACAACATCTCATTTTATTTATTTGCAACAGAATATAAGTTGAATTCTTTTAAACGAATAAAACAGTCACTATATCAATGTTCAAATTTAAATTAAACCATATCACTTCACATCAGTAGCTCGTATTAAACATATTTTCGTCATACTTTTATGCGTTATATATGAAAATCAGAAAAATACAAGTTTTGTATAAATAATAACTCTAATAACAACAAAAAATTAGGCATTCTTACTAGAATTCTTGCATTTTGTTGGAATATATAATTGTTTGACTTTCTATACAAAAAACACAGGTAGATTAACACATTAAATAACTACAGTACCATTCATATATGAAAATCAGAAAAATACAAGTTTTGTATAAATAATAACTCTAATAACAACAAAAAATTAGGCATTCTTACTAGAATTCTTGCATTTTGTTGGAATATATAATTGTTTGACTTTCTATACAAAAAAAACACAGGTAGATTAACACATTAAATAACTACAGTACCATTCATATATGAAAATCAGAAAAATACAAGTTTTGTATAAATAATAACTCTAATAACAACAAAAAATTAGGCATTCTTACTAGAATTCTTGCATTTTGTTGGAATATATAATTGTTTGACTTTCTATACAAAAAAACACAGGTAGATTAACACATTAAATAACTACAGTACCATTCATATATGAAAATCAAAAAAAATACAAGTTTTGTATAAATAATAACTCTAATAACAACAAAAAATTAGGCATTCTTCCTAGAATTCTTGCATTTTGTTGGAATATATAATTGTTTGACTTTCTATACAAAAAAACACAGGTAGATTAACACATTAAATAACTACAGTACCATTCATATATAGCTAGGGAAAGGTCAATAAATTCGGCATATAAAAATAATCTTAATAAATAGAAAAATAACCTTACATTTGTTGTCATTTGTTGACTTGAAATTGAATTTACCAGTAATATGTACATTAATGAATAAAAGTACATTCATGCAACGTAAACGTTCAATTTAACACCAAATATAGCATCATTATTTTATATCCAATACTGAAGAAGTTCTATCAAACATTCATATTTCCACTGTAAAGTCATATTAATATATTCCAGTAACTGTACCAGACTGTACATTCAACAGAACTTTGTTTGATTCTGGGGCCTTGCAACGATGTCCCTCACAGTTTGGGTTACAACTTGTGCCTTACTTGAAAGCTTTCTATGGATTGATAGCTGTAATATTATTGCTTAACTTGCTTATAGCAATGTACAGGTATATAATGTCATTAATAATACAATGAGGTATTTGTATGAAATGATATCATTACACTCTCCTAGCTGTTATTTACATAAGCTTGCAATCTTTGGACATTGTAAATATTAGTATTATAATAATCTATGATTATGCTGGCGGTAATTTATTAAGTTCTTCTCGCGTTGCAAATACTCAATATTTTCACAACTGAAGTGTGTATGTGTGTGGTTTATCAATTTACGCTTTAAAACGTATTCATTTTGCGGTTGTGTTTATGATGTATGTTCTACATGAATCGGTGCGTCTCAAGCTTTTTATTTACCTGGGTCTTTGGCGCCTATATTCATGTCATGCTGAGGGTTTCGGGTATGAAATAAACATATTTTTAAGAACTTGATTCGATTGAATACAAAATGTATACATTATCAAATCAACAATAATCAATGTATAACAACTGATTCTGCAACTGGGAAAATAATGAGCCAGTGCTAAGACGTTTCCCCTTATTTTAGCTTCAAAAATTGATAATGATTGGCCTGTAACATTGTTTTAAATATATTATCCAGTATGGATGAGTTTCCCCTAGTTTAAACCTTAACAATTGATAAGGCTTAGCGTTTAGTATTGTCCGTACATTAAGATCAACCACTGTGACATCAAGTTGCTATTGAAATAACAAAGACACATAGTCTCGGCCAAGTAATTCGTGATTGTAACAGTTAAACTTTATTTTCTGTCGTTTTTAGTTTGTTTTTTTCTCCACCGTTTGGAGCAATTTTTGTGTCAGGAGCACGCCACTGTTAATGATGACGACCGAAAAAAAGTTATCATGCACGTGCGTAACGCATCTTTTGAAATATTTAAACGCCTTTAGATGGAACAAAGAATATGTCAATGTTGATAAATGGAAATTTTACAATTGGAAAGCTAAAATCATCTCGTTTGTTTGTCATTTATAAATCATCAATCTGTGTAAATAACAAGACAATATCAATATATGAAGCATACTCTAAATGTCGGTATTATTATTTATTCCAAGTTCACTGTGATATATAAGTTACAATCATTCACCGAAAGTTTAAAAAAAAAAAAAAAAAAAAAAAAAGATGCTTTGTCTTTTAGTTTTGATAATGATTATAACAAATCTGCTTCATATGAGTACTAAACCGGTAGGTCTGTATGTGTGCACATGTACTATCCATTGGAATACTGACTGCTTGTTTATATACATATTATATTATCCAACACATATCATGAATATGTTGTAGATAGAAAATAATTCATTTTAATGACATTGTCCTTGTTGTATTTAATTGTGTTGTTACTCTCTGAGTAAACACAACTGCAGTTTAAATAAATATAGATAAATCATGAGCGGGCGCTGTTACATAACTGCCTTCGATGATTACTTTGATCAATCCACAAACATGAAAAGTAATTATGTAACATACATTGTTATATATTATTTATGTTTACACGTATGGAAATAGCATTGGGGAGAAGTAAATATTTATCATATACAACACTTTATTCAGTTGATTTTGAATTTTTTCAAGTAATACATTTAAAGAAGTCCACGAAGAAGCGGAGTTTTATTGGTCACAGCTACAGAACGACTTTCTTGAGGAATACAGTGTAAAAACGATATTTCCAATACATGTCCAGTTACTTGTTTTACCGGTGGTCATCATCCATGCCTTCATATGGTTTTGTTGTCCTTATCTTGGTGGAAAATTGTATGAAAAATTTCGCAGAGATGAAGAAGTTGATTATGGTCGGAGAGACGACGTTAAAGACGAAACAACTTTAAATCGTGGTCCTATGTTTGTAAGAGGTAAACGTTTGTCTAATATGATGTCTTAGTACTAATGTATTGTGTCGTTTTCTGTCATATTCAAAATGTAGATGTAATGTCTATTACTATGTCAGATTAAATAAGAAAACACCACATTCAGGGTTTATGGAAATATTACCCGGTTGTAAGAGGTTCAGGTAGCAAAACACAATGCCCTTCTTAATGTTTTTCTTTTAATTTTTGATAAGGTTGATACTTCTTGGTAAACGAAATTCAACAATATACTTCATAATTGTTCCAGAGATCACGATTCTGATTTTATCAACTCTTTAAAGGCTTTAGAACATGTAGAATCAAAAACAATTTTTGCAGTTTTTTCTTGAGGGCAGTTTCCTTTAACATAATCCGCAAGTGATTTATTTATGTAAACATGATTTTATTATTTTCGTTTTCCTTGTTCGATATTCAAGAAAAAGTTTGATCTATTGACCTCATATTGAGGCATCAACGTTGAAAGATGATTGACATACTTCATTTGTCTTTTGTGATGCCACATACTAAATGTGTCTTTCCATAAAGAAGTGTTTGTGCTTTGTCTATCTTCTTTTCTTGGATGATGGCGATGGCATATTGATTTTGTCTTTACATCTGTAAAACTTTCTGAAAAACTATTATATTCTTGATTATGGCCGTTCATGATTAACAGAATGATGTACATACTATTTTTCTGTCGGAGGAGACATCATGTTGAACTGTTTTTGTCTAAGGTTTCCCCGATTCCTGCTTCATCGACTGGCAATTGTCATATAGATAATTGTTTTCATATCCATATATATGTGCGATGAAGTTGTAGAGTTGACACATATAAACACACATATGCTGATGATATATTGCTGTAACTTAATTGGTTAACATAATTAAGATATTCAAAAGACAACCAAGATGGTCAAGATATTCTATCCATGCGACTTACATGAGTTCGACATACAATACAATGCTACAACCTTATATATGGCCTAGAGAAAATGCATAACAAGACTAGCAAAAGTTTTGTTTGAAATACTGTAAAAGAGAGGCGATAGATACCAGAGGGACATTCAAACTCATAAGTCGAAAATAAACTGACAACGCCATGCCTAAAAAAGAAAAGGATCAAAAGACAAATAATAGTACACAAAACACAACACAGAATACTAAAGACTGAGCAACACGAACCCCACCAAAAACTGGGGGTGATCTCAGGTGCTCCAGAAGGGTAAGCAGATCCTGCTCCACATGTGGCATCCGTTGTATGCGTGTTGCTCATTGTTAATACAAACCCGGTTGACCTAATAGTCTGTGTTGCTAGTCAGAGTCACATTGTCACCGAAGCATGGGTTCACATTTTGCAGAGGGAAAATGTGGTCAAAATGAAACAAATGAAAATTATAGGTTATCTATCTAGCCATCCCTGTGCAATCCAATTATATTCGATAGGGAAAGTCTGTTGTAAAGTTTTGAAATATATCTACGTTTATATACATACATATTATCTATTTGATTTCAGTTTTCCTGTATAATACAAATTTTGATTTGAAGCTAAAATCAACGAATGAAGCCGAGGGAAATGGTGCTATGAAAGCAAAAGGGTAATATCTTTAACGATATATGTTTTCTGGTCCTAGCATATCAAGTTTATTCATTGCTTCTTTAAGATGATGGCAAATAAAGGCAACAGTAGTATACCGCTGTTCAATAGTCATAAATCGATTTAACTGAAACAAATCCGGGTCAAAAACAAAACCCGGGGTAACACATCAACTATAAGAGGAAAACAACGGAACAACAGAAACACTGAACTGCTACAAAACAAACGCCAACATACACAGAAACGGACTATTTGATAACAGCTGCCATATTCCTGACTTGTAACCTGGATTTGTTTTCTCTCAATAGATTTATGACTTTTAAATACCGGTATACTACTGTTGCCTTTATTTCGTACAGGACATTTTAATAACAAATGGTGCGTTGAACCTGGTTTTATGGCTAGCCAAACCTCCCACTTATATGGCAATGTTAAAAATACCGCTAAAATGACAACATTACGTTCAATACTTATGATTTGATAAAATACTTGTAGATCTGTAATATTCGTATGTGTAGAAAAATTCAAATATCTTCCGAACAAAAGCTGATATAGAACTATAGAAATATTATCAACGATTTCCTTGAAAATAAGTAAAGGATTGAAGTAATTAAATAAATAATTTTGTTTGAGAGAATTACCGTCGTTAAAATTACTTAGTGATTTGTCGTACTGAAATGTGCAAGTAATGAATGATATTAATTGTCCTGTATGAAAAGAACTTTTAACATGTCTATGAACTTAATTCAGTTGATCCTGAAAGCTCTTACACTAGTATTTCTGGAAACTACTAATGATCGTCAATACTTCAAATCTACGAAATAACCTGCATAGAACATTAGGTGTGTATATGATGCACTCTGATTTGTATGTTTTGCGGAAAGAGGGTTAGTTATGAAAAGCAACATAACAAGCAGTACAGAGAATCATACTAAAAAAGAAATCAAAGTAGATTTGAATCCAGGAGCAACTTTAGAAAAAGACAAGATACCAGATTACCTCGATTTGCATACTAAAGCATTGCCACAGGTGTCAAATGATCTATTTACAATCCAAGAGCAACTGAGATCACCAAAATGTAGTGACTCTTATACCGGTGTTTGTCTTTTCGTAGTTGTTGTTGCAACGGAGTTGTCAGTTTCCTTTACTACTTCTGCATATGTTTTTTTATTTGGTTTTCTTCGTGAATGAGTTTTTAATAAGGTTATAAAACCAGGTTTAATCCACCATTTTCTACATAAGGAAATCCCTGTACCAAGTCAAGAATATGACAGTTGTCTTTCATTCGTTTAATGTTTTTGAGCTTTTGACTTTGGCATTTGATAAGGGTCTTTCCGTATTGAATTTCCCTTGGAGTTTTGTATTTTTTTTTAACTTATTATGATTCGTATTCCTGCTTGGAATCATTTTCATAATAACGGAACCAATTTTCACTTTGATATATGTATCTAATAGGACGATAATTTGAACAATAAGAAATTGATATATTTCATCACCTTGTCCGCCAAAAAGAATGATTGAGATGAGTTATAATGCCATGCTCGTATATTTAATCATAGCTTGTCAATTACAGGGAAATAGACATCATGGAAACTGACAGAATAACGGTAAATTTTGATATATACTTTATAACACTCGGTGTCAGAATTTACCCAATTAGATATAAGTGAAGCGTGTTGTGTTCCTAAATTTTAAATGATTGCATTATGAAATAGAGAGAGAGATATACTTTATATATGAAATAAGGTAGCTAATTTGCGATGGCATATTCGATTAATAAGCACAACTTTTCAACGATCTATGTAGATTTGTTTGGTATATCTGCAGTAGATTTAAATAACATGAATAGCCTGTTCGTCGGAATCACCTCTAATAAATTAAGTGTTTTCTGTTTGTCTTTTGTCATGTGCTTTTCTTGCAGCGCGTGTTGCATTGATGTTGTTAAATAACAATGCACCCTTTGACTATAAACTGGTGAATTGTTTTAGCTCTTCTGTTTCTATTCGGTAAAGTTTTTTGATTTGCATTTATTAATTTATATCATACTTTGAACACAACAAAAATAATCTATTTCACGATATAATGGTGTGCATTATTTTTAACAGAAGCTTCAGGCTCAATTGGATTCCAATAGCTTCAAGCTAGAACAGCTTAACGAGAGAAACGATAAACGAAATCAAAAGGTAAGTAAGATGATATCGAATTTACGGAAAAAAAACATAACCCATAGCTGTTTTCTAACGATAAATAACAAATATATCCTGACCAGTAAAATATTGTAGCCTGGTTGTTATCTGGATTCTATGCGATCATTACTTAATTTATATTCAAAACTGGATGATGTGTCCACTAACTACATGAAATTAAGATAATTAATGGATAATATGCAGATGAATAATATTTTAAAGACAGACGTGTTATGTTATATTTGTATTTCTCTAACCAATAAATTGTGAACTTTGATTTATTAAAAAAATAATGCATCCTTGAACATAATGACATGGTTATTTAAATTCACTTACAATACCTTATAATTCAGATAAGGCTTTAATTTTGAAAAGACATCAACACAATAGTTTAAGTTAGAGATACAATTTCCGGTCTCATGGTTTCTTTTTCAAGAATCAACGCTTATCCATTGTATCTATAATACATACATCTGTTTGTTCAATATTTTGTAAATAAACTTATTACGTGTAGATTAGAGCTGGCGATAATTTATTTTCAAATTGTCATTTATGTCTTATTATGTACCAATTTATTTCTGATGAAAATGTAAAGAAACTTTAGGATTGACCTACATTTCTTTTGACCTAAATTTACTTTTAAATTCTTATTTGAATCGGGTTTTTTAACGCAAACCTTTTTTGTACAAACAAAAGTACCAATTCGAAACCTTTTGTTAACCATATCTAGTACAATACCGTCCTGGTGACGTCAACTATTAATTAAGTTACATATGTTCAGTAAAAGAGTGTTGAAAGATGCGAGAGGGATAGCCAAACTCATGAGTCCAAAACGATGTGATAATGCAATGGCAAAAAACTAAAAGTTGTATACAAGACATAACACAGAACACTTAAAACTGAGCAACACAAACCCCACCAAAAACCAGGACTGATCTCAGCTGTTCCGGAAGGGTAAGCAGATCCTGCTCCACATCTGACACCTATGTGTATTTAGTTTCCTACGATAAGAATGTCCTTACATCTATCACATTAGTACAAATAAACGAACCAAGCTCTATGCTATTTAGATGACTATATCTTTATGTTTAATTCCAAAACATTTCACGAACAATTCTTTGTTCTTTTACATATTGAAATGCTTTACAATAGGTTTTAGGCAAGCATGTGTCTCATTGATAATTATGCCACATCTTCATATTGTATATGTATTTGTCGTTTTAGTTATGGAACAAACAGAAAGATATGGATAAATATTTGAGGGATATGAAGATAGTGGTTCGTAATCATTTGTATATTTTTAAGTAAAAACAATTATTTTTGGCATAGTCACCACATATATATATATATTTATGTACGCACCAAAGCAGTTGAAATGTAAAATAAAAAAAAATATTACACATGAACATTCCGAAAAGTTGTGCCCAATGCGCATACGGCTTAGGCAATCTTTAATTTAGTGTTTCGAATATTTCTATATTTTATAAACAGTATATATATAGAAAATGAATATAGAAATGATATTTCAGGCAAACACAAAAGTGCAGAACTGTCCATTGAAAATGAGACGCAACTTTGAGCAATCAACAGTCATTTGATCAATTATTAATTACATTTTTGAAGCCTTGAACAATGTTTCACTGTTCACCTTTTTGTAGCAACAAATGGTGTTGTTTTCTTCTGTCATCATATAAAGCCTTTATTTCAACTGAAAGAGAGACGTATGGTTTAGCTTCGAAACCAATTAAAAAATGTATTAAAGCAAAAATTGTTAGACGTTATGAAGCAAGTTGTATTTTTGTTGGAACGTAAAAATATTGAAAACTGTTATTTCAGTTATATTTCGATGCTAAAACCAGCCTCATTATCGGATTATACTGGCAAATCGCTTAAAAAACTCAGCTAGTGTCTATCGTTTGGTTTTACTGTCGGTGTTTTTAAAAGATACTTTGTGGTTAGAAATACTTCGGTTAAACATTTGCTCAACACTGTCTAGATACATATGATATTTCTTAAATATAACTTAAACAATTTTGTGCATTTTTATCATATCAGATAATGACCAGACTGAAAGGTATGCATGGTAGTTTGGGAAGAATAGAGAAGGAGGTTAGTAATAACATATACTTGATTATAAACAAAATAAGTAACTACCTTCTACCCATCATTCACAAAAGTAATTACTCACAGTTTATGACTTTTTCTTTTAATTGTTGTTCTTCATGAATACCAAAATTTGACTCAAGGCATTATTATATGAAAATATCATCAGGAATTTTCACGATTTTCATTTGCACGGAAACATAGCATACTGTGGAAATCTAAATTTATTTAAATCAGCTGGTCACAATGACATCCAATAAGTTAATTATGATATTTCATTGATGTAATTCAATCCTTCACATTATGGAATGATGGCGGTCTAAAAACATATGTTAAATTTTTCTCCTGATGTTGACCGAGATGGATGATTTCAAACTAAAATCTATGACAACCGTTATTAATCCAACTTTAAAATTGTCAACTTTTCATTGTTTTGCAATCAAATATCCATTTCACCATAAATCCATTACGGTTGTGTGTGTTCATCCAATACTGCATTTACATGGGTGTCCTCATGACACAAAAACTTTTCCAACAGAGTAATGCGAAACTATGACTGAAATCGACAAGTCTGATGGTCACCATTATGAGTTTTGACACACCGTCTTTATGTTTCAAATTACTAGTAGCGACATATGTCTTGTCGAAGATCTTTTTTTATACCAGCAGTGCCCGATCCAGATTGAAATTTGTTGGTTTAATATTATTTGTTCGTCATTTGAGTTGTATGCGCATTATCCACCTTACGATTTTATTAAGTTACACAAACAATCTTCTCTACCGTAAATTGGGATATATTAACCGAAGTAATTTTCTGATTATCGGTGCCTTAGACGAAAGTGTCAAAATGTAACACACCGAACAAATACATTGGCCTTAAAGATAAATTCAACATTTCGATAATCATAACAAAACATATTATGTGATCAATGACTTAAATCGTACAATAGATATAATCAAATCAGTAATGGTGTAGCAGTTTTATCAATAACCTTCTAACTTAATTGTCAGTTTAAAAATAAATGCATATAGATTTCTGTTAGAATATCGAATAAAAATTGATCTGATTTATTTTTTTTATTGATCTTTTTACCTTATTATCATAATGATGTTCGCCTTAACTAGTCACCAATAACCAATTGAACAATGCTTTCCGTTACGCTAAGTACAAATATGACACAAATGCCAACATTTTACAAACCAAACTTTAAGTACCAACCACTCTTTTAGTGAAAACCGCCAAATTAAATATAGATTAATTAGATATAAAACATACCAATGCATGATCATTTAATGCAACACTTTAATGAAAATAATCATTCAATTAGATTTAATCTTTATTTTAAATATGCAATCATGCTTTTCTACGATCTGTTTGATATGAAAACAGTGATTTTTTTTTTATTCATAATTGTCTCTTGAGGTAAAATTTTTGTTTCCATTTCCCATTTCCGACTATATTTCATATGAGGTCAAATTGTCTGAAAACAAAACGTTCTATCATAATCTTGGTTATTAAAGCAATAATTGTAAGTGATGGTTCTGCTAATACTTTCATGTGCTAACAATAAGCGCTGATGTCATTTATTATCATGCAAAATAGAATTTCCTGCCCTGTACTAAGTTAACACATAAGCTGCAGACATTCAAAGTTGTATCAGTTATGGACAGTATATGGATTACGTGACTGTTCAATGTATACTCATTTTAGCAATGTTTCGTCATTGAAAGATTTTTTTGTAGGGTATACGAAGAAGTGTATTACAATCATAGTTTCAGGAAAACACATTATACCTTTGACCAAAGAAAAACTAATGAAAAAAATAAGCAAAAATCAACAGAATATTATACACAAAACCTAGGTGCTTCGAGATGATAAGCAATTGATGCTCTATGAAATTTACGAATCGCGTGAAAAGTTATATTCGGTAAAATACTGGAGCCATTTCCATTGATACCAAGAAAGTAATGAGTTGCTGGAAAATATTAAGTGAAATATACAAATACTTCGTATAGACTAACTCGGTCAAATGGTTTTTATGCATATCACTATATGTGTAGGGCAAACTTATTTATATGACTCATTTTATACAAACGATGATATAACTTAACACGTTAATATAACTACAATTGGTCAAATGCTTGGTTTTTTTTTACATCACTTACAATGCCTTAGGTCATCAGCGGAAATAACGAAAACAGTTTCATTTGGTGTCATTCTGTCCATTTTTCTGGCCATATTCAAGATTTGAAAACAAAAACAAAAATTGATTTTTTCTTCTACAGATTTAACACATACTTATTTAACATGCCCAATGCGGTTATGTTTTAAAGATATGATTTAACATAACTTCAAGTAGATACATATATTATTAAAGAGCCACATCGAATTAAGATACTAGTTTGTAACTGTGTAGTGATACATGTAACGCAATTAACAATTCCAAATTTGTAAAGCTTAATTGTGTACTTTTAGGTATCAAATACCGCCAAAATTATAAAAGATGCAGACTTCACCTCGGATGAAGAGGAAGAGGAAAAGAAAAGTGATACCTCGACGTCAGATGAAGAGGATTCTGATGAATTGTCTAGTTCTGTGGATTTAGAACCATCACGTAAGAACAATAGTCCTAACATTTGGTTAAACAAGTTGTCATTTAAAAAGAATACTAAGTAAAACACCGTTGTGTTCAGAACTAAAGAACGGCAATACTGAATGATAAGAAGAACGTAAATATTGACAACGATTTTGATACTATCAAAGTAGGCACAGCCAGTTCATTAGCTATTATAATCGATTAAAAACAATCACGATTCGGTTGACCGTTTGGTTATGTTTGAGTCCCACATTTTATAGGATATGATCCACTCATCGTTTTTAAAATTAAATCCTCTTTTCATTCAGAGAGACATCATTGAAAGCGACTTATATATTTGTAATTTGTAGCACAGGTGCCACTTGTGAAATTATTCTTCTCCGATTCTTTGTGGGGTTTACATTAATAAAGTATGAGTTCCTTTACATCTAAATTTTTAATTGGATGTTTCTGCCAATTTTATACTGAATACATAATATTAAGACATTGGATTTGTTGATAAGAAGTCCAAAATACTGTTATAGTTTTATCGGAATTGGATCATTTGAAACTAAGAAATGTATCACCCTGATGCATTCCTCTGATTTCTTTTCAGAATTAGGTCATTCTTGTTATCATTTTATATTCTGTCATCGTTTCATTTTTTTTTAATAGGTTTTGGTTTTCAAATATTTTGGCTTAGATCATAGTTCAAGAAACTTTAATTTGTCGAAATGTACATCTAGCGCTGTGACATTGGTACCTTTAATGTGACCAATGAATATATTCCTTTTTGGATAGAAAGTGAACTGTTCATTGTTGTTAAGCATATATATATATATATATATATATGTTGTATGCAAAAGGTTCTTTTATTTTGCAGATGATCCAGATTGTAAAATGCAATAATCAGACAATAGAAAAGTTGTAGGCATGTTTGAACCAAAAATATTTTTTTGGAAACAGCAATATGGCCATTTGTACCATAACATATTGTATGTACTTGACCTCCGGAATAACACTGGAGTGATTGTCTACTATATGCCTATAATCATCTGTAGTGTCATAACTTATGTATTTACATTTGTAATAATTTAATTTTGGATTTAACACGTCTTCTGATTGGCTGAAAGTGTTTTGTCTATCAGCTCATTCGAAATAACATAAAATATGTGGTGCACACTTTTAAATAAACTGCTACGCGGTTTATTCAGTGTGCACCACATTTTTGATGTTATTTCTTCATACACAGAAAATACATTACAGTCATTCCTTATGTATGATTATGAATAAGATTTTTCTCGTGGTAATTTCCATGTATTTCTCACTGTTTTCAAATGAAGTTCAAAATAAACAAAAGTGCAGGTAACAACTTTATTGTGTTGTTTGTCAGATCATGGACATGCATTTTGTTTGCAAAACATCGAATTTCATAATAACAATAATTTTTATTCGATTAGATTTTAACTTTTTTTTCCTGTTATCAGTTTGCCGTAGAAACAGCGACGGTTTGACCAAAACAAATGCTTACGGTCACTTTAACGTATATAAACAAACAGCAAATAAACCTATATTCATCAAAATGTTTTTCAATTTCCCTTTTTATTTTAGAGTGTTGCTTTAACTAAAGAAAACGTCCCCTTACATAATTTTGTAATTGATAATATTCTTAATATTCTTAGTTGTGTTATACTGTACGCAAATGTTAAGCTATACTTTATTGTTTTTTTTATATATTTATTTAAAGTTATATCAAAATAATTGCGAATCTTACTGTCAAATGAATGTTTACAATGAAATTGACGTTTTTATCAACGTTTCTAGTAGGTTTTAGTTTTCAAATATTTTGTTATCATGCAATTCGTGATCAATGGATTATTATGCCCGAACATTTGAGGAGTATAAGTTAATTTTATCACGTATATATCATCACATCATCCTTTGGTAGATTGACTAAAGATATAAATGTTTTAAAAATAAAGTTGACACAGTTTAATGTTTTGAAAATGTGGTCTTTGGTACTTTCAAAAGTTTCAAAATATGACCTTAACTTTATGTTTTTCTCTTTTTTCTTTAGGGCTGGGGTGTTTTTATTTTTGTATATTTTTTATCATGTTGTTAAAACATGTGTAAAATGCTGACGGTTTTTATTTTAATAAATAGATTAATATACTAATAAAAATATGCTTAAAAGAAAATGATATCTTTAAGTTTGTCTGTCACCACTTAATAGTGATGTTTAAGCAAATGCAAAACACTGTTTGACTTTAACAATAAATTCAAAAGATTATTTGATTTTCAAATAAAATAGAAATGAACACATTAGCGAAGGGTCTCCACTTTGAGGATATTGGAAGCAAGCTTGTTGTAAGTATTTGGCAAGTAAAGGGTGAGACTGAAATCTGGTACATTTTACTATGCTAACTGGCTAATGTTAGTAAAATGATGTCTTTCCAAGCTTCAAATGTAATACAATAAATTGGTTGAATATTATTAAAATTAAAAGGAAAGATTGGTTCAATCCCTTATAACTATTACATATTCTATTAGGCAATTGACGTTGATGTATTACACCTGTTATCCAAATGTTACACTATTTGTCATGCTGTTTTTTTGTGTTTGTTTATTTTTTGTAAAAGAATATAAAACCTCATTGAACAATATTTTCTTAACTTAATTCTGAAGTTGATGTTAAAAGTTCCGTATCACTTGCCCGAACTGATTTTGGTAACTAAGGAATGATTTTGTTAATCAATTATCTGATGAAATATTCATATTTTATATTTACTTTTTATGTTTCTGTACAACTTTCTTGATTTTTTTGATTTTTTTCAAATAAAACAAATGTATTAAATATATAGTGCTATACATGTGCAGTTCTGATCAGTTATGATTCTACAACCTGTACCGATAGTGATTACTTATATTTTTCCATTGCATAAGGCCATGGGTTTCTCAGACTGTTTATGACGTCTATATACTAAATCCGTTGGATGTGTAGAGATTTATATTCTTAAGTCTTGGAGAACATGATTTGTTTGTTATAACATATTGTGTTATTTTATTAGTTATGTACTTTGTACCAATTTATTTGTTAAGCCATTTGTTTGAAATTGATTTTTACGGTGTTCTTGTTTTATGCTAGTACACTGCTGCCCCAGGTTAGTGGAAGGTTGAGCGCTAAAAAAAAAGGTCAACTCCACCACATCTTGTTTGTACCTGTCCCAAGGCAGGAGCCTGCAAGTCAGTGTTTGTCGTTACTTTATGTCTAACATAGTTGTTTTTCATAATTTGTCCTGCAATAAATTAGGCTGTTATTTTTCTCGTTTAAATAATTTTTGATTTGATTTTTTTTTATTTCGAAACATTTTTTAGAAGACTATACGTTTTTGGTTTTTGTTCATTCCCAAGGGCATGCAGTGACCAACAAAAAAGATTACATTTACGTTATTTCAACTCTGATGGATATTTGTCTCATTGACTATAAATTGTTTTCCATTCGTTTGATGTGTTTGAACTTTTGATTTTGACATTTGATAAGATTTCTGATTTGAATTTTCTTCGGAGTTCGGTATTTTTATTATTTTACTTTTCCTATCAACTCGCCTTAATGTTATAATGTTTAGGATTTTGTCATATTGTTTATCAAAACAATGTAGTTCAATTTATTTTATTTTTTTGCATTTGTCGTTAACTTATACAGTAATAATAATTCCGAGCATCGCATTTGAAACTTTACTAAAAAATGTTATAACATACCAGTATAATAGGAAACATTGACAATGTCAAATGTGATTTGTTGTCTCACGAATAAAATGAAATTATGAAATAATAGCGAATATGAGGTAGACATTTATTTATATTTTATTTTTTATTTCATCTTTATAAATGTGACGCTACATTGTACCTGCATACAATCATATTGAATGTTCATCTGTATCCCTTTTTATAGTTTATCTGTATACTCGCTTGTCAATGCTTTAATAAAGACGCTTCAAATTTATTTTGTCAGTCTTTTTAAGAACTATCAAGTATATAAGCTGTATAACAAAGTTAATTACATGACATATATTAGGTATATAACACGAAGTACTGAGAATTGCATAAACCTTTAAACTAGACTGTCATTAAATACTTTGACGAGTTTGCACCAGCGAAACTTCATTTCTTTCAAACAAACTTAAAAAGACCATCTTTTTTTTAAGATGTTATTCTTACCTCTTTCACATATGTTTAATACTGGCACCATGTCATATTAGTTACAGATGGTTACCGATATCAAATGAAAATAATTTGTAATTTCATCATGCTCCTCTTTATTGGGATGCAAAAACAGGAAAACAAATAATAAATCTCTTATAAATGAAGATCATTCCTTTTTTTGCCATGCTGGTGTCAGTTTCTCTTTGAACTATAAGTTTAGATATCCCTTTGACATCCTCTTTTTATAAGATCTTTGATAGTGTTTGTTGAATTCATTCACAACTCGTCTAGACTATGGGTGATTTGGAGTTTGGAGAGAAACGTTAATACTTTTGTAAAGGAAAAGCAACTTCTTGGTTCTTAACATATTTTATTGAGTATATATAACGGTCCTCGCAGGTGTCTTCTAATGATAAAAAAAAAATATTTGCTTAAATTAAACATCTGGTGTCAACAAAGAGTTTTATTTGAGCAAACCACTATATGGCAGCTAACTGAAAATCCGTCTGTTCTGCATTGATAACGCCTTTGGCATCTTCTGTCTATAATGGTTTACTTTTATAAATTGTAACTTGGATTGAGAGTTGTCTCATCGGCACTCATACCACATCTTCCTATATCTAAGTATATACAGTATGACAATCCGACAGATAGCAGAGAACAATACATAATGTAATGAAGGGACAATTGTTTCACAATACATGATTTAATTTTCAATGCCTGTTTCAGATAATTACACAGTTTAATAATAATTGATTTAGATTTTGTTTGAAGCATTTGCATTAACCATTTCCTGTTATATAATAGTGTTTGGGGACAACCGGAAATGAAGCTTAAGCACTAACTTAATGTTCCAACTAAAATCAAGATCATCAGTACTTTATTAGGTTATAAGTGTTTTGAATGAAAAGCTTTCAATTACAAAGGATTTGACGTATGTTAGATTGATTTCCAGTTGTCAAAGTCTTAGCCATGTGTTTTTATAAATAAGAAGATGTGGTATGAGTGCAATGAGGTAACTATCCATTCAAGTCACAAAGTGTAAAAAGTAAACAATCGTAGGTCAAAGTACAGCCTTCAACACGGAGCCTTGGCTCTCACCGAACAGCAAGCTATAAATGGGCCAAAAATGACTAGTGTAAAACAAATCAAACAGGAAAACCAACGGTCTAATCTATACAAGAAACGAGAAAGGTGAATTTTGTTTGTTTTCTTAACTTTGTTTTGTTTTGCAATATTGAATCATAGGGAAAAGGGAAACTGCGTATACACACAAAAATAGGTGAATTTTGTTTGTTTTCTTAACTTTGTTTTGCTTTGCAATATTGAATCATAGGGAAAAGGGAAACTGCGTATACACACAAAAATATGGAGGAAGCGAAGACTGGGATATACATTCATGTAAAGGAAAATTCTCTACATATAATTTTGTGATAATTGTTCCTCTGTATAAGTGTCGTTTATCGTAAACTAGAGGATTCACGGAACATCTATCTGGAACACATGCACACTTAATAAACGATGTGGGGTATATGCCAATGAGAGGCAGCAACCAACCGCACAGAATTTTTTTAGATATCTACAGAGGATTATTTGTTTGAGGAGTTTTTGTCCTCTTAAATATATCAATAGACAAGTGTCAATAGAATGTTTCAAGCTCTAAATCGCCCCAAGTTTTGAACGGTGTCAATATATTTAACATAGTATATCAAAGATCTGCCAAAAACACCAACACTATCATGCTTGTGAGTGATATAATTTTGAAAAGTGTTACCATCACTTCACTTAGTACACACACCACAACAACGACTCAGAATCTGTTTGTTTTATTGGATGATTTTTGAAAGTATCTTGTATGTAAAACAATTCATCTTATACTAAAACGAACTTTTGAGAAAATTTGAAAATATTTCATGCGTTAAGCGTTCTATGTACGATTTTTCTTCATATTGGCTTTATCAGTAAATCGAAATGGTCGACTTGTTTTGTATATAGTTTTACTGGTACTAATAATGTTCACATTGAATGAATGAATGATATAGAAACAGAGGATAATACTAGATTATTCTCATATAAATAAAGACAGCAGTAGTATACCGCTGTTCAAAAGCCATTAATCGATTAAGCGAAAAAAAAACTCAAAGTTACAAACTAAAACCGAGGGAAACACATTAACTATAAGAGGAAAACAACTAAACAACAGAAACAGTGAACTGCAACAAAAACAAACGCCAACATACATAGAAACGGACTATTTGATAACAACTGCCATATTCCTGACTTGGTACAGGACATATTAAGAAAAAATTATGGGTATAACCGACTGTTTACTTCGGAGTATATAATTTTTCGACATGTTGACTACTATGGGATATGAAATTCTGGTACTCAGTCAAGCCAAGAGAAAATAATTGTTTTATGTTTTTCTCTTGACACAATCATCAGAAAACAGTAAACATTTCCTCAAAATTGCAGCCATTGTACGCTTGATTTTACTTCTTTTCGTTGCTCTTTCTTGACTGAATACCAGAATGTCTAACCACAAAGTATGTAACCTGACAACAAATTTTATACTCCGGTGTTAAAAGTCGGTAATATGAAACTCGTAAGGGTAATTTTAACTCACCAAAAATGGTGTCAGAAGTGAAAGTTTAATTGAAATAAAAACTGATAGTAGTCGAGTTAAATGGTGGTGATACATATACTCCAAAACGACCTTGCATTCTAACCCATCTTAGATACAAAATTACATGTGAATCTTATTTAAATGAAGGCACGAAATTTGTTAGTTTGGCGTCTTTAGTATTTTGTAGATACTACCCTTTTTAGGTACCTATATCCTTTCATATTGTCTATTACTGTGGCAAAGGAACTTTGAAAACAAATCGCTTAGATTTCATGAAGTTGAAACAACTATCAATTAATTAAACAATACATTTAACAATTAAATATATGCGAACTAGCTAACCATTTAATAGTATTGCATCTGGTGCAGTACAATTCGTACTATTTATAATATTAACTATGCATACACAAAACAAACAATGTATTCATATTGTCTATAGCCAAGACAACTACATCTAAAAAAGAACCTTGACACTACGACTGTTTGGTAAAAAGTGAAGCTTTAAACATATTATCGCTCAGTTGAAAATATTAACCTGACTAAATTAGAAAATTTACACTATCGTTAGTCCATAAGTTTCCCGCTTATTCCTTGAAACGAGGGAATATTTGATAAGAATAATTACAATTATTTTGACCTGACAAGCATTCATCACAGGCTTCACAGTTCGATACAGACAATACATTTTACGTCGACCGTTCCAAAATGGCAATACTTTTCGTTACGTTACAAATTTTATTACACTACAAACACGTTTCGTTACTTTTTGTCACACAACTGCCCTTTTTTCTCCATGATCATTGTATGATTTTCGACAGTTTGGCACTCTGAAACTTAAGAATAAGTAGACTTAGTATAAAGAAAGTTTCTGTTTGATTAAGGAGATAAAACTATTTCTTTTTGTACAAAAGTCATACGTACAAAAGTCTATTTTTCGAGGCTGTTTATAGCTGACCATATATGCCTTGTATCTCACATAATAATGCCAAAATCTTGTATGACTGATACATTTTAAATGGACCACGTTTCTTAGTGTCAATTATCGTTTGAAAGATGAAAATGAAAAATAAATGGGTCTAAATTGTGATTTAGGGATAGATTGACTTAATACAAGATCTGATGTTGCTTATCAGAAGTTAAGTATTGAAGTTTTAGTCTATCTATAGTAGCTTTCGAAATGTTAGGATAAACGTTTAAAAAGGTCATAATGGCCGCTAACATACAAATACACCTTTAATGAATCGACTGACGATTTCGATAATTTTTAACTATTTGTAAATCTCATTTTTTTAAAATCGTTTTGTTCTTTACAGTTTTTATCTTACTATCGACTATGGTGTATGCCAAAATACAAAAATAGAAATTAAATCGTCAATCAAAAGCAATAACTATCAGTTACAGTAAGATATAACCAATACTGTCATCTTTTGTTTCAGTTTCTTAAGTTATGCTTTTAATTCTGTTAGAACAATCCATTATTACTAATTTTTGTCTTGAATATACGCCGTGAAGGGTATTTCATACTTTTTGTTCAGTTTCTTTGAAAAAAGTATGTTTGTAGCAATGAATGTATATAAAGGGGAATGGACTTCGGTGTGAGCCAAGGCTAAGTGTTTAAAACCTTACGTTGACCTGTAATGGTTTATTTTTATAAATTTTGACTTGGATGGAGAGTTGTCATAGTTGATTAAAATGTTAGAAAAGAATGCAAATATATTTTAGATGTCATTCATAACAATGATAGTTATAGAAATAATAAACCAGAGGATCTAAAGAGCCTATGTCACTCACAACGGCATATGTGCATTTTAAACAATGGAAAGTGTGCAACATTGTAGACTAGAATAGAATTGATGACAAAAATCTTCTTTTTATTGAACTTGTAATATGATAATTTTTTCTTTTCTGCAGTTCTCATTTTTCCTCTTTATTTTTGCCCAAAACACAAAATCATCATTTGAGGTCAATCGTGATGAATTCTTTAATGATCTTGTCTGGCTGATCAGGTCTGCAAGTTAATAATTCTCACTTTCTATTAAAGTTTTCAAGATAAAAGGCAAAATAAAAAGAGGTGCAACTCGTTTTGTAAAGTCAATATCGCTTATAAGAAGCCGTCGGATAGTTTTGATGTAAAAAGACAATAGGTAGATCTCATCATTCTTGATATTTCTGCC